AACAACAAGAGAACTGGGGGGCCCCATAGAACTAAAGACGATAGAGGGGCCCCACTGTCTCCTTTGTATCATCTGTATGCTTGTCTCCTCATCTGTCTCCTCATCTGTCTCCTTCTGTCTCTTCTTCTGTCTCCTTCTCTGTCTCCTTCTCTGTCTCCTTCTCTGTCTCCTCCTGTCTCTGCATCTGTCTCCTTATCTGTCTCCTTATCTGTCTCCTGTCTCCTGTCTCCTTTTGTCTCTTCATCTGTCTCCTAATCCGTCCCCTTCTGTCTCCTCCTGTCTCCTTCTCTGTCTCCTTTTCTGTCTCCTTTTCTGTCTCCTCCTGTATTCTCTTCTGTCTCCTTTTCTGTCTCCTTCCGTACTCTCTTCTGTCTCCTTTTCTGTCTCCTTTGCTGTCTCTTTATCTACTCCCCTCTGTCTCGTCTTCTGCCTCCTCTTCTGCCTCCTCATCTGTCTCCTTTTCTGTCTCCTGCCTCCTTATGTGTCTCCTTATCTGTCTCCTTTTGTCTCCTTTGTTATGCCGTTTAACACAAAAATACAGAACGGGGATAAGAACAACAATTCCCCTTTATTTGCTTCTGCTGCAGCAGCTGCTGCTGCTGCTGCTGCTGCTACTGCTGCTCCTACTGCTGCTGCTGCTGTTGCTGCTGCTGTTGCTGCTGGTCTTGTCTCTATCACTGTTGCTGCAGCTCTTACCGGTGGCCCCCATGCTGCAGCTGCTGCCGCCGTTCTCGCTGATGGTGCTGCTGTTGCTGCTGCTGTCTTTGCTGCTGCTGCTGTCTTTTTGCTGTTGCTGTTGCTGATGCGTCTACTTTTCTCGTTGCTGCTCTTGCTGCTGCTGCTGCTGCTGAGCTGAGACAGCTACGCAGTGTGCCGAGGGGCTTGTGGTACCAACTGTCTCCTTTTCTGTCTCCTCTTCTGTCTCCTTTTCTGTCTCTCTTACTGTCTCCTCATCTGTCTCCTCGTTGCTGCTGCATGCGGAGACAGGAGACAGGAGACAGTTGCTGCCAGGGGACAGTCCCCTTTGCTGCGCCTCATCGAAGCTGCAGCANAGACAGGAGACAGGAGACAGTTGCTGCCAGGGGACAGTCCCCTTTGCTGCGCCTCATCGAAGCTGCAGCAGCAGCAGCAGCTGCTGCTGCTGCTGCTGTAGCTGCTGCAGCAACAACAGCAATAGTAGAACAGCAGCAACAACACTAGAGCCAGCAACAACAGTAGCAGCAACAACAACAGCAGCAGCAGCAGAAACAGTAGCAGCAGCAGTAACGGAAACAACAACAGCAGCAGCAGCAGCAGCAGCAAGAACGACAGCAAACCCAGTTGTATTTTATTTAGGTTTAGTGGGGTCAGCTGTCTCCTTTTCCTGTGTGTCTCCTTTTTCTCCGTCTGTCGTCGATAGACTTGTAGCTGCCTATACACCCGAAAGAAAACGCTGCTGCAGCAACAGCAGCAGCGGCAGCTGTTGCTGCTGCTGCTGCTGCTGCTGCTGCTGCTGCTGCTGCTGCAGCCCAAATACCAGTGTATCCTTGTCCCCACAAACTGTCTCCTTATCCTCACCAACTGTCTC